GTTTATTACGAGGTTTTGAAAACAGTCGATTTTATGGATTATTTTTTTGAATTATTGACTATGGAAAGCTCAAATAATGTTATTTGGTTAAAATTTTTTAGATTATTTGTGCACTTCAAGATATGAGGCCTTCATAGTATTGTAGGACGGACCTTGTTATATCGTTCAACGGCTGAGCATTTTTATTATCAGTATACTTACGTGCGAGCAATACCATACTTAGCCACTGGTCCGTGCTCCACGTATTCATTTCAATTGGATGCCCTGTCGACAAATTCCTTCACTCGTCCTTCTCCCATCACTCGAAACACTTTTGATGTGATCACAGGCAGGTATTTTTGGATGAGCAATACCACGTTAGAGATCTCGTGGTTCGTCCAACTGATTTCAATAACGCTCCACTTTACCAGAAATATTAACGCAAAAACTATGGAGTCTTTGCAGACTATTGCAAAGCTCATAGTAGCAAACACCTAGTTGGAAGAATTACCAGCGAATCTAGATATTTTGAGTAAAAGGTTTTGTTGTGGCTGCAGATAAAGTTCTGTGTTCTACGGAGTTCTGCTCGACTGCTTTCTGAAAAGCAGTAGCAAGTCGGTGATGAAGCCGACAATACCATCTAAAACAATGCACTAGCCATAATTGCTAGCCCTTGGGTAGTGATCTGAAAACTGTATAGTTTGAAAGATGAGAATCAATCCGTGAGATCTCAAGGGAAGTGCTGTCGCTCGGAATCAAGCTCTTTAAGGAGCGGCGGAATTTCAAGGCGACATAATGTTCGAGTGCAAGAAGCCAGTCGACTTCAATGGACTGTTCATGACCGATCTTGTACCAATGCACACCTACAGAACGTTGGTTTACGTAAGTGCGAGCACAACTCCCGAAATTATTTCTTGCAGACTACTGCTGAGCTGGTAGTCGTGCACACTGTGAGAAGGAGTACGCCTAGACAAGTATTTCAAATCAGGATTTTCGAACTTCACAATGCAGATTCAAACTGCGCATGTTCTCAAAAAAACGCATCTCACGCTGTTTTATATTTGATCACTTGACGTTCACGTTCTTTAGAGGTGGGCCTATGGAAGTGATCGTCAAAAAAGATTTCACCCAGAACCCTACTCTACTCTTTGATGGCAACAAGATGTATTCATGTTGGCCTAATACCCAGGTGCACAAACCAATCGGGCTCTACAAACTGCACATGTCCGCCGTTCTGAAGTTGGTTGTATTACCGATAAGTATCTAGGCTATCAGAACTATGCTGAGAAGGAGAAGACGCTCTCACTCTCACACAAATGCTCTTCGAACTGTTGAATGCAGACTTTTCCAAGACTTATTCCGATTACATATTAGAACGCCTTTTAAATGAACTTACTCTAGAAGGTGTACATTAAAAAAAAAAGTTTTTTCGAACCACGGTCTCACAGTTTCATTGAAGATGAAATGTAGTAGGAGTTGAAACTGCGTTGTCATCCCAGAGGTGTAGCCATCAATTTGCAAAGTAAGCATTTTAAGAGCAACTGGGCGTGCTTTGCACCAAAGTCATGTTTATCAAAGACACTTCAATATGCTTCCATATCTTCTTTGCCATAAAGTGACCTTATAATCAAGATTTTACTGAATAATTACCAAAAAAACCGCTGCGATGTTCAGAAAGCGAGCTATTTAGTTCAAAAAGAAGGCGTAATCCTCTTCTCTTTGATTACAGCACATAAAAAGAGATTTTTCAAAAACAAAGTGTAGTAATAGAATTTCTATATTTCAAGCCATCGATTGATTACTAATAGTTTAGTGAAAAAGTTTTATTCAAAAAAAAAACATTCTACAGTATGAGACTGCATTGCACTCATTTCGTAGTGAAAAATAGGAACTTTTGAAACAAAAGGGCGTATTCTTTACTGAATGTATTATTATAAAAGTCCCTTCAGTAAAATCACTCTTTTATTACCAAGATAGTCCGCTTAGAATCAAAAATCATTTATATAAGCTTCAACGAATTCGCGTTAGTGTTGAACAATTTCTACTGATTTTGAAAATAGAACCTTATCTTCTTTCTGTGAACAGAATGCAATATAAAGAATTCTTTCCAAAAAATCATACTTAGTTTAAAATCGAAATCGTTGAAGTCAAAAGTGATTAGAAAAGCACAGATAGAGCGAGTCAATATTGTTATACAGCTAAGAATATGTTCCTTACCGAAAGGATATGGTAATCACGTGGCAACACAGAGACATCTCGAAACTTTGGAGTTCTTTTTACTAAAAATCACTTTATAAGAGTCCCTTCTGTGATGTTTCAACATTTAATCACGATAATATCTTCTTTGAAGCCTAAATTTTAATATTTGGGAAGAGCGACGCGCGCCACTAAAAATTCTGTCGGGCGCGTCGCGGCGATCGGCGTATCTTATATCATACAAGTGAAGCCAAAGGGTTAATAGGTCTTTTCTGTTACGGGGCAAAGATTTTTGAAAGAAATCTTTTGTTCGACAAGACTTTCCACCAAACTATCAATAATCATTCAGAGGCCCAAATCTTAAAGAGTTCAAACAAGTAGTTTTTTTCCAGGTAGACCTTTTTACAGCGCTGCTGCACTGAAAATAAAGTTGTGTTTCACACGTATTGCGCGTGATTGCGGCTTATCGCTCATATATTTCGCTGAACAGAGCTTTTCGACATTATCAGTAACCAATCGATGATGAAAATTTCGCTAAATTCGGATACACTTTTTTTGAATCTTTGTTACAGCACCGCTGCGAAGAGAATACATTTGTGTTTCACCTACGCGTTATTTCTGGAAAAACAACTCTTTTCCATTTTATTCTACTCCCGACCGTTTATATAGACTTTGTTCAAAACAATGGCTGTCTGTCAACATGATAATGTGCTTGATCTTGTTATGAGGTCTGATGCGACACTTACACAGTGCTGGACAGGCGCTTGTGTCGTCCTTCCAGGCTGCTGAATAGCACAGTGTCCTCCAGTCCCGCCGATTACTCGGCGATATACCCCTAGTTAAAGAAATCGACGCCGAAAAATCGATTACCGCAAATCAGGTGACCTCCCTTCCCTCTTTCCTATTTTATTTTCTCTGCTGTGACGCTGTTAAAGGGTTTTTTCAAAGAAGAAGTGCATTATTGAAAATTCCGAGATTTACGCTATCTAATGGTTAGTAATAACTTAAGGGAGGAGCTCTGTCCGGCGAAATAGAAGCGCCATACTAATATAAATGCGCGGCTCATCCGAATCATGATTCTATTTTTCAGCGCTGTAAGAGAGCCTTTCAGGAGAACACGTATATTTTTGATTTTCCCGAATTACAGCTTTTAAGCGAATTTTGGTAACCTATCAAAAAGTCTTTGTCCACCAAAAGAAGCCTCCTCAGATTCTCACCCGATAGCAGAAAAGAACGATTCAGTACATTCAGTAGTCCACAGCTGCTTATCTTCTCAGTGCGTGCTTTTATAACCGTACCGAGCCGCATCTTCTTGATTCAAGCGCCGCTCCAATGAAGTACCCAATCGAAGGTGTCGTTTTGAGAAACAACCGTTCTTTGTAAAGGCCTCTGAAGAAACGAAGGTCTCGAAACGTTAACCAAACGAAAGTTATATTAGAGTTTCGTATTAGCTGCGGCGACAGTTGTTTTAGCAATTTAGTACTGTGTTCCAGATCGGGCCCGAAGGATCGCCGCTGAGATATCACGTTATAACAGAATCTGTTCTGTGATCCAATGGTTTGAAAATCAACGGAAAGAAGAGAGCGATCATGGGGTTCATGAGGTCATAGTTTCAAATCTCCAATTTGAATTCTAATATCTTCCGGATTGGTTTAATTTCTCACTTTTGAGCCTATTATATTTCTATTTACTATGAATGGGCACGCCACTATATGAGCAGAGCTGCTTTGTAGTGCATACATAGTCCTTAGCTAGTCCCCAGCTGTAGATCCCGTGCACGAGAGTAGGACTCACTAACGTGATGAATGAGATAAGATGCCACAAGAAGAGAATTTCGCCTCCGTCATCATAATGGTGTTGCAAGTAGGACGATATGTATATCGAGTCCCTAAGGATCTATAAAGGCCAGACGTTTTCGTGCTAACCAACATAGATAAGTTGAAATGAATTTTGATGTGTTACTAGGGTTCAACAAGGTGGTGGCTTGTTCACAGTTGCCTATCCTCTTTCTCGTGATTACTCTGAGTAATTCGGAGCAAGAAGAAGGTTTTAGAAGAATTTTCTCGTTAAAACTGTGGGATGAGGTGGAAACCTTGTATATTGCTTATTGATTTTAACTAAGCCGTCAAATTAGCAACTGCTGCGGAGGGGTGCACACTTTCGAGAAAAAGCTACAAAGTCAAAACAAGCTAATTGATAAGTTAAAAAAGAAGTTCTTTAGCACCCGCTAAAAGTTCAGAATTATTACATAATTCGATCGAAAGCAGCAATAAATATTCTTCGAAATTAAGATCATTAATATCCACGATCTTTTATCAGCGGTCTGCAAGCTTCAAAGTTTTGTTTTCAATTCACGAGTGCTTAATAATAGTTCTGCATCTAAAGCTGCTTGCAGATCTCCATCATCCAATTTCATTGGCCGGCCGGAACAGAGTTGGCGTTTGAGAATAAGATTGTAGCAATTATTCTCACGAATAAATGCTATTTCTCGCATTGCACATACTCATTAATAATAGAGATGTTTACTTGCGGATTATAATAATAAATTGATGGATAGATAGTAGTCATAGTAGCCGATTCGAGTTTTTTATCAATAACCCACACAATCAGCCGTGGTGTTCGTGCAAGCGGCAATTGCTTTGAGCACCAGATGATCAGTTTGTGCGGGTGAAGTATCCAGAAAGCAATGGGAAAAACGTGTTATCACTGTAGCTGACCAGTGTTGTGCTGGTAAACCATTCATAGGTTAACACAAGCTAGAATCTTGGAGATGGTGGCTGATAGCTAACATAGAGATGTTGAAGAATGAGTGGTCGGGCAAATGTGCCTCGATGGTGTAGTGGTAGTAGCACGCGTCCCCGATGTGGATGAAAGGCGGGTTAGATTCCCGCCTGAGGCCGTGTATCTGCTCGCCACTCAAATTTCTTAAGTACCTATATAATATCATAATACTGCGAAAAAAAGTTAAAAATACTAGATATTTTGAGAATTAGTTATCATAATGGTTGTCAGCTCAACTGTGTTTATAAAGCGAAATCGCATGCCCGACCAAACCTTTTACAGGTCTGTGGCTGATAGCTAACATAGAGATGTGGAAGAATGAGTGATCGGGCAAATGTGCCTCGGTGGTTTAGTGGTAGTAGCACGCGTCCCCGATGTGGATGAAAGGCGGGTTAGATTGCCGTTTGAGGCCGCGTTTTTGCCCACCACTCAATTCTCTCAGGTATAATCTTGGAAATCGTCACGCCCCACGAAAAGTGTCATTCGACTATGGACTCCACTTCGAGCTCGGCTGCAACTCCTATCCCTCTTAAATCTTAACTCTTTTCTAATATAGAAGCTTCCCCCTCATTACACTTCACATGTTCAGTGCAGGAGCTTGTCTCCCATTACACTTCAAATCTATAATTCAGAATCCTACTCTCCATTAACATCACATGTATAGTTTAAAGACTTGTTCTTCATTACATTTACATCAGTAATACAGAATCTCACTTTCTATTACCTGCATATATGTGCTTCTCAATAAGCTTCATATCTGTAATAAAGAATCTTCTCCTCAGTACATTTCGCATGTATGACACAGATGCTTGCTCCTCATTATACTTGGCACGTATATCTCAGGAGCGTGCTTCACATTACTCATTTGGTTACTCATCTCTCAAACTGTCAACTATCGATCGCATAACATTACTCAATTTCTCTGTGAGCCTATCGACATCGCCCCCTTGTTATTGTTGTATTATAATGTACGTATGTCGGTTTAATCACCCAAATTTAAGGCTTGATCTAATGTGATAAACGAAAAGTTCCTCGTGGCAAAACGATAAGAAGAGCATTCTGAACAGAAAATCCGCTGCAAAGATCATCACTTTCAAATCGCTCGTGCCACTTTGTTACAGTCACATGGCTCGCAGTTCCTTCATCTCTTCGCAGCCTCTCTTGTTGAAAGTTTCCGTCTCCGGCGGTCGTCTGTCACCTGTCGTCCCGTTGATCGTCGAAGGACTCGAGCGGGCATCAGCAACACTTCCATTATTCCCCATTGCGTATAAGCGTAGCCCAGTGGGTCCTCCTCGCTCTAGGGATTCGTTGAGCATCATATCTTTCCTATAGCTTTTGTGAGGAAATCGGACCAACGGGTCGGTGGTCTTCCTGTAGAGCGCTTGATGTCCCGAGGAATCCAGTCGGTAACGGCTCACGTCCATCGTTTGTCGTTGAAGCGCATCATGTGTCCGGCCCACATTGTTTTTTGACATCCTGGCGTCTAGAACAGCGCCTTTAATTTTCGATCGTTGACGTAGGTTGAAACTTCGGTGCCCTTCTTATATTTGCGAGGCACGAGATACTCATAGCATCGACCTTTCGACTACGCGTTCAATAACGCCAAGTGATCTTTCATCCCGCTTGAGCAGCAACCAAGTTTCTGCTGCATACATCAGGGCAGGGATAATCGTTGAGCCGAAAAGGTGGGCACGGAGTGGAAATGTTCTCTGTCCTCCTCACTACATTCTCGATGCTTTTGAACGTTCCCCAAAGCGCTCGTTTTCTCCTGCTCCACTTTGAAGCTAGGTCGCTTATCATGTTGATTTGACGACCTAAACAGACGTAATTGGAGCATTCGGAGATGTTAGTTTCATTGAGCGTGCACGGGGCATTCAAAACCGTCGGTTCCTCATGAACATCCTTTCGTTAGATTTAGTTAGAGGCCAATCTTTCCACAAGCGTTGTCGAAATGTGTCAACATTCGTTCCGCTTAGTTGATGCTTGGTGTTATGGGTACGATATCATCTCGAAGAGAAGATGGCTTTATTGTCGACCGTCAATTTTCACTCCCATATCGGCCCATTATAATGTTTGCATGAAGTCTTGAAGGGTGGAAGTGTGCAATTTTGGCGAAATTATATCGCCTTGTCGTAGCCCTCTTCTTACGTCGATGGTAATATTGTTGTAGGATGGCAATATTTTGGTAGTGAAACCTTTATAAAGCTCACGAGGATCGTGACGCAGCGAGTAGGGACGCCATGCTTATCCAGAGCCTCTATAACCGCTGTGTTTCCTTTGAATCGAATGCTTTCTGCGAATCGAAGAAAGTGAGAGAGAGCGGTAGTTTGTACTCTCGTGAAACTTTAATGAGCCTTGTGATCGATGTGGTCCATGGTGCCAGATCGTTTTTGCAGCTCTGCTTGTCCGCATGGTTGTCCTTCGTCCAGCGTTCTGACAATCCTGTTTAGGACGACTCGAGTGAGGAGTCTATGGGTAACGGACAGCAAGCAGATTGGGCAATAATTGCCTATGTCGTGAAGGTTTCCGCTCTTAAGCAACAACACGGTCTTGCTGGTTTTCCAATGATTGGGGACCCTGCAATCTGACAGGTAGTGAGTGAAGAGCCGAGCCACGGTGTTGATAAGAACTGGCGGTAGGTTATTCAGGTGTTCTGATCTAATCCTGTCGAGACCTGGTGTTATGTTGTTCTTTACCGATAATGTAGCGCATCGCATTTTGGGAGAGAAGACCGGTGGAACGAGAGATCCATTCCCTTTCAATTTGTATAACGGTAAGAGCACAAGGCTATCGGAGAGGTTCGAGTAGTAGTCGTGGATAATTTTCTCCAATGCCCTTCTGGATGCTCTAATTGCTCCGTCAGGGCGTTGGAGGGCATACATATTGGACTTGTAGTTGGCAAAGGATGTTAAAATGAATGCTTAGTTTTGAGAGTTTAAATTATTTTAGATTGACTTCACCGTTCGTGGCAAGGAATTTTGTTACGACGATGTAAAAGTCACAAATCAGGCTTTCCAGATTTTATGTGAGTCCATTCAAATACGTTAGAGTTACCCTATCCTAGACTTCTCACCTCAATTAGTATACCCAATTTTTTCATTTGCTCAGATAGAACATTATAAATATACACTACGATTAACAAAAAACTGTGACAAATATGGGTACTGTTCTATCATGGCGGCCCCACTTGAGGCCTTCGGTAAAAGCGTATTCTTTGCTGTTATCTAACGAATAGATGATTATCTGATAGCTTGCATCGATTGAATTTTGAAGATGTGTTCTATCTCTCATATTGCTTGTTTCTAACGCTGTGCCATTCAAAATGAGACTTTGTTTCACATTTGAAGATTTCTCGCCTGATAGAAGTTGTTTTACAGCAAAATCTCAACCATTGGATAGAGCAAATCTCTGTAATTGAAAAAATGTGTTTACTTCTTGGAAAAAACTTTTTAGAGCTCTGCGATTTGCACAAGAAGAGTGGGTTTCACACATTTGAAATATCGCTGTTTTGCGAACTCCTTCAAAAACAAAGTGTTTATCAATTTTTTCATGCTGCTTTTTAGCTTAAGCATTAGCTTGTATCTAGACAATTCCAGCAATATACTTAGGTTCTGGAGAAAACTTTCCAGTTCGCTGTAACAGCCAGAATAAAAGTATGCTTCACACTTGGGGCGTTACAACGCGTCCTTCTTCGGGGAGAGCATTTCCCTCAGGCTTCTAGAAACCACTCGATAGTTTAGATTCTGCTGATTCCAGTGATGTATTTGGTTTTTCGAAGGGATTTCTTAGTAAGCTGTGATGGGTTAGGGCGCTCAATGCAGTGACGGCACCTGGCCAACACGCATTGTCAAGTCTGTGGATGCGACTTTGCAATACTGGCCCTTGGCTAACGAACCATTTCAGCATTCCCCACATTGGTTAGGCATTACAGGTCACATGTAGAAAAAATTCTAGAGCGTCGGAGAGATCTCTGATTCTCATCAAAAATTCCACATATGATTTGTGCAGCGGATTGGTATTACAGCTGTACACCCACCCTAAGCGACTAGAAGTGCTCATTGAGTGTGAAACCCAATATTCTCTCGATCGTTACAAAGCTCGAAGAAGCTCTTTGCGAAAGCCAAGTAAAGCGTTAAAATCGGAAAAATTTTCTTCATTTAGCGATCAAAAGTTCATTACAATGAAACTTTTATCCAGTGAGAAATCTTCGAATGAGGAACAAAATCTAATTTGAACTGGTACAGCGCCAAAAATATGCAATTTGAGGAATTAAACATGCCATTGAACTTTAATTGATTTGAACTATTGATAAACTGCAAAAACACTTCGCAAAAGTTTTACTGAAGGCCTCGAGTGGCGCCGCCATAATAGAACAGTACCAAATATGTTTCAAAGTTCTCTAGAAACCCACAAATTTTTGTTTACATTTCTATTTTGCAATACATTCAAATGCTGTTGCGTAAATTTTCGATAAAACGCTAACTTATGAATTTTATTTTTACCAAGTGTCTATGTCTACAGCCAGTTCTTTTCGTGAATTTTAGGTAATGAGTTGAGCGTTTCTTCGATCCATCGCTACAGTGGCTGGTCATCAGTAATTTACACAAGTCGTCTTATTCATGTGTGCGTTTCCTTTATTAGTGCCAATTGTGAGAAGAAAGAAATCTTTGAGAACATCTTCAGTATTGATCAGTCAAAGGCGTCCCATATATATTTTCGATTTTTTGGCTAATGTTTGAATCTAACGGACGTGGGTACTGATCTGCTTCTCAAGTTATGGTGGACTATTCGTAGAATAGTTACGCGATTGGACCAGAATATATGAAATAGAGCTTTTTGAATCAGATAACAAAGCCGGTTACTCATTAGAGGAAAGCAGATTTTCAGACTTTGTACGAATTTTTTGCGCAAGATTGTTCATTGTTACCACAATGAAAATCTCAAATTTAAATATTTGAACCTTTACAAACAGTAATAACAATCATACAACTATAGCGATATGACAATAATAAAATAACACAGACGACAATACGTAAACGGACCGTTAACAATAATGGGATGAAAAGTAAGTTATAATAGTTACGTTGAAACAATAGTAGTCTTTGGAATAGATCGGTG